GATTTTTCCATGGATAACGCCTGCAATGCAGTATTTGGTCATTCGGTCGGTTTTCGGTTCAAATCACGATATTTTTAAAATATTTTTTGGAATTATGTTTTATACGTATTTATAGATACATAAAACAAAAATCAACATTTTTCAATTTATCTTAATAGCAAACTTGATCAATCGAATATTTAATAAGTGGTCGGTTTTGAGCTCGGCAATCGGTCAAATCAAATTATTTTCAAAATATTTTTTAGGATAATGCTTAGCACGTAAATATACACGTATAAAACAAAAATGAAGAGATTTTGATAAATAACGCCAGCAATATTTACTTTAGAAAATTTCCATTGTTTTACTATTCTAAACCTACTCATTAATTAAACATCAAAGAAACCTACAAAAAATTTTTAATTTTTAGGTTTTTCATATGTATATATACCCAAATATAAAAAAAAGTGCTATCCAATCATCATTCCGGTTTTCGAAAATGATACATATTAAAACATATAACGCCCTCTTACGGATATATTTGTTTTAATAAGCTAGAAAAATAAATTTCTTACTAATAATATTAAATAAAAATAAAATTATATACTATATCATTTAATCAGTATTCTTCATTTATAATAAAAAAATGATTTAAATATATTTTAAAAAAAGTTTAAAAAATTATCAGTAAAAAAATATACGTAATAAATTTTTGATTGATTTATAATTGATTATGATTGATTGCTTTTTAGCAAAGCAGTTTAGCAATGCATTAGCAATTCAATATATAGTGAGGAAATTTTTTCCAGGGAATTATTATCCAGGGGATTTTTTTTTCCGGAGAATTATTTACGTGGGAATTATTTTCTGGGGAATTATTTTCCGGGTATTTTTTTCCGGGTAATTATTTTCCTGGGGATTTTTTTCTGGGGAATTAATTTTCGGGGATTTATTTTCCGAGGATTTTTTTCCAGGGAATTAATTTCCGGGGATTTATTTTCCGGGAATTTTTTTCCGGGGAATTATTTTCCGCTTACCGAGTCAGACATTGGCCTAAAAAAAATTTTTGCAGGCCTGGGCTCGGCCTGATCAAAAAACCTAGGCCCATGAAAATCTGATTTTGATTGTATTTTTAACATTATGATTATTTAAATATTTTATTTCAGTTCTCAACTACCAAAATTATTATATTCACTGGGCTTGGAAGAATTTTTCAAAATTATTATGGCTTTGTACTTTGCCTGGGAATTTTTTTAATATTAAATATTAGGTATAAATGATCAGTAATATTTAACAAATAATATTGGTATTATCAAGTAAAAGCTTTAAATTTAATTTTACCAAACCATAGTGTATTTACACTTAGTTTTAATGGATTTAACCTGGCCTGAAGGGGTATTACTAGTATTTCATGTTTAGTAAAAAAAAATTAACAATAACTATTTTTTATATGATTTTTTAAAGAAAATCCAAATTGGTAACATTGGGATTTTCTTATGTAATTTTTTCCATAAATTTTTTAAAATTAAATATTGAAAATATGATATAGTAAGAATTGAATATAGGCTATTTTCCATTTAGCAAAGCCACTATAATATTTGCAAAAAGTTAAGAAAGTGAAAATTTTATTTTATATTTTTTTAAAAATTTTATAAATAATTTTTAGATGACCTCAACATGTATTATACCAGAGGGAGATATATCTGGTGTAGATATTGAGAAGGATGATGACTTTGAAAATGCCACAGTAGTTGATCTAAATATGACCTATGATATTTTACCATATATTGGGTTGGAACTGAAAAACTATGATTATGATAATGATATTATCCCAAGTAATAGGAAAACCTATGGCGAAATAAGGATTTATATAAATATAATACAGAATTTAAACAAGAATTTTTGCCTCCAACTGATAAGGAAATTTGGCCTTACAAATATTTTAAAAAATTTATAGACGATGATATTATTAACAATTTAGTAGAGCAAACGAATATTTATTTATTTCAATTATCTGGCAAATCAACAAATACAAATAGTAGTGAAATTGAAAAATTTCTCGGAATTCACTTTTATACGGGCATTGTTAAATTGCCATCAATAAGGCAATATTGGGCTATAGAGACAGTGATTCCTCGAATTTCTCAATGCATGACAAGAAACAGATTCTTGGAATTGAGAAAATACTTTCATATTAATGATAATAATAATATAATCCTTAAGGGCCAGCCTAATTACGATAAACTTTTCAAACTAAGACCATTTATTAGTGCATTAAAAATGAACATGAGAAAGATTCAATTAGAGGAAAAATTATCAATTGATGAAATGATAGTCCCCTTCAAAGGGCGATGTGAATTTAAACAATATATTAGCTCAAAACCGCATAATTGGGGAATTAAAATTTTCGCTTTATGTGGATCATTTGGAATGCTATATGATTTCGAAATATATTTAGGAAAATGCACAAATATAAAAAAAACTTTGATGGGAATTAGCGGAGATATTGTTATACGACTATTAGAAACTGTTCCCCCACATAAAAATCATAAAATTTATATGGATAACTTTTTTTCTTCATATAATTTAGCAGTTGCGCTCAAAGATAATGGCTTTATCGTGTCGGGGACCATTAGATCTAATCGATTATTAGGATGCCATCTGATTGATGATAAAATCTTAAAGAAAAAAGGAAGAGGGTCCCTTGATTATAAAGTGGATTCTAATAATAATATTATAATTTGCAAATGGTTTGATAACAAATTGGTTATCACGATATCATCATTTATGGGTATAAATCCCACATCACGAACGAAAAGATGGTCGGTATCTGAAAAATCTTTTATCAATGTCGAAATTCCGGCTATAATTCAAGATTATAATGCTGGTTAGGGCGGAGTGGATCTCCATGATATGTTAATTGAACTATACAGAATTGACATAAAATGGAAGCGCTTTTACATGCGAATTTTTTTTCATTTATTAGATTCCTGTGTGGTGAATTCGTGGTTACTCTATAGACGCCACATCAAACAGAAAGATGATAAATATATATCTCTTTTAGCGTTTAAAGCTCGGATAACTAAAGGATTAATGATGGTTGGAAAGGAAAATTATGGAAAAGAAGGTAAACATAATTTGAAGATTGAAAAAAAGAAAGAAATTGAATAGTTTTCATCCAATCCCAGATATTAGATTCGATAAAATAGGGCATTGGCCCTCGGCGGCTAACAGCCAAAGATGCAAGAATTGCAAAAAATGGTTATACCAGATTTGAATGTTTAAAATGTAAAATATCTTTATGTTTAAATAAAAATCGCAATTGTTTTATTTCTTATCATTCAAAAATTGTATATTTTTTTTCATATGAATATCCCAATGATAACAATTGGTAACATTTTATAATTCTATATATATACACTTTTTAAAATAAAAAACGTTGAAAATGTGTTATTTGTGTCTTATTTAACTCAGTTTTGGAAAAAAAAAATTTTTTGTTCACGGGAAATATGTCGGGTGCAAAAGGGTTAAGAAGATTAAAAACATACCTAAGAAGTACAACTTCTGAAAGTAGATTGAATGGTCTGGCCCTTTTGAATATTCATAGGCATTTGACGCCAAGCACGGATTAGATAATTGAAAAATTAGCTCAATCCCGACAAAAATTCGATTTTACATTATAAAAATATTAATATTTCTATAATATTTTTTGTGCAATCATTTTTTAATGTCTTATATATTTTTCTTTAACATAAAAAATATAATTGTTCATATTTCCAACATTTAAATTTTTTATACTTTATATATAAATTTTAAAGGCTCAAAAAAATTTAAATTTCTATTATGGGTTATTTATTTTATAGTCATTCATATTCTGGTTATATCCACTTAATATTTTATAATTCAGATTTATTTAAAGTATTTATATGCCACCGGTTATATCCATTTAATATTTTTTAATTCAAATATATTTTTATATACTGGTTTGTATATTTAATTTTTTATAATTCATATTAATTTAAATTTGTATATTAGAAATAGTTATTAGTCCTAATAAATTTATGCTTGATATTTTTAAATAACAATAATTTTATTTAAAAAATTTTAATTATCCCCCCCCCTACACCAAATTCCTGCGTACGCGCATGCTAACATATACATTTTTTAAATTGTCTTTATTATATTTTAAACATTTTCAATTATTTAGATATTTATTTAAAAATTATCATTTCAATTATATATGTATGTTCTGTATATATAAATATATATATATATTCTTAAATATTAATCAATTTAAAAATATATGAATTAAGATGACATTTTATAGGTTCATTGACAAATTCTGTATCAGCTGATAACCGATATTTTAAAAAAAACAAAAAATTGGCTTGATTTGATAAAAAATAAAATCATAACTGACAAATGTGGTCTGTTGTACCTCACTAAGGTTTCTGGATATCTCATGTGTACAAAAACCCATGAAATAAATATTATATCTTTTGACATGGTAGGAAAGTCAAATACTTCTAGCCATTAGAATAGGAGACTATAAAAAGTACAAAGCTAGTGTTGTGAATAGCACCCACTAAATCTTTTTAGTAACACTTTTTCTTACTGATGATTCCCTACACATATTATTAGTGGGGAGTGGGGGGGGGGGGTTGTATTAAGAGAAGAACCAAAAATCATACTAGAAAAACATCTCAGGTTATAAATGTACACAAAAAGCATCCAATATTAAAAATATTGACAGTTATAAATGTGTTATGGCTATAAATCATCTAATATAGCTAGATAAAAGGTGTAGAAAAAAACCTATTTTTCTTCAAAGTTGAGCTATATTTTCAGAAATACAAAGTGAAAGTTAGGAAAAAAATTGCAAAGTGGAAATAATGTTTTTGGAAAAAAAATAAGGTTTAACCATTTTTGGTTAGCTAAAAATATAGAAATTATTCATTGCGTTGGCAATTAATAATTTCTTTAATAATAACAAGTAAATCAAATGATTAAAAGGCTTAAACCTGTAATAATATTAAGATTTTTTAAATTTTGGAGATATTCTTTCCCATATTCATCATCACCTAACTTTTAAAAGAAATTATAAAACATAAAAATATTTTTATTAGGTACAAAAACTAAAATATTTTTATTAGGTACAAAAACTAAAATATTTTTTTTATCACCTTAATAATTTATTTAAACTAAGCATATTATTTTAATCAAATTTGTATAACTACTTATAAAAAAAATATAACCATAGCAATTAGTGCAGTCAAGGCTCCTAATTTAGATGTAGCAACAGCCTCATTTGCTCCTTTGCCACCATATCCCTTAACAAATTTTGATCCTAATAATGTTTCTCCAGGATGTGGTAATTCTGAAATGAACCTATAGAGAAATTTCAAAAGATATAATTATATATTTAAAAAGAAAACAAATTAACTTATAAGATTAATATACATAATATTATGAATATATTTTAAAAAAGAATATATAAATTGAAAATAATATTTATAAATCTCTTAATTAACCAATGCATATCAATATTACAACTTCCTACTACAAGTATGTCAATCGCATTATCCTTATTCATGATGAATAAACTGGAATTTTAAATGTCATAAATAAAAAATAGGCATATTATAGATACTGGCCGTATCTCAAATTAGTTTATTTTATTTTAATATATATAATGATCTTACATTGATGGACGTTTTATTTTTATTCAAATTTAATATTTGGCATCTTAAAATTTCAAACATAAAGAACCTTATAATGTAATCCTTTAGGTGAAATTCTTTAAATCAACTATAGTATTATAATTTATTGTATTTATGTTCAAATATAATTTTGAACGAATAATAAGAAAATTTAAAAAATTATTACACAACCTAGTCATTTATTCTTTATGGTATTTTAATATATTAATAATAAAATAGATAAATTATTATCCTCAAATACTCTTAAACTTTGTGGTAGTCTGGTGGGTTAGAGTTGAACCCCCTACCCATAAATTCCGAACAAAAAATTTTTTATTGCGAATAATTTTATTTAAAAATGGTTTCAATTTAGAAATAAAATATATATATACGATATCAATATGAGTCTGCAGATGATATTTAGAAGGCCATTACTAAGCGACCATTTTTAATATCTCAATGAGCTTATTTTTTACTTAATTGTAATTTTGAATTTAGCAAAATGCGATAAAAAATTGATTTGGATTTAATGAAGGTTATAAAGTGGACAAAGGATATTGTTAAAATATCAATATCAGAAATGATGCAAGGGAAATATTTCGTGAAATATTCGAGAAAGTAATGGATATCGCTAATATGTTTGGGATTGGAATTTTTAAACCTAGAGTAGTTTCTAGACAATCTAATCGCTTAAATATTGATGCGTTCACGATTGATGAATATTTTTATTCCCCTGATGGATACATTTTTATTTTAATTAAAAGAAATATTTATTAGTAATTTTAATTAAAAGAAATATTTATTAGTAATTTTATTTTATAAGCTTTTTTTTCTTTTTTCCGGTTGAGACTGAATTGTTTACACGTGAAACGCGAGAGGATATTAAGAAAAACTCAGAGTTTATTAGGATAGTATGATTAGTTGCTTTGTGATATCGAATTTTGAAAAAAAATCTTGACAGAATAGAGTTCTCTTTGACAGCAAATACATAAACGGGGGAGGTGGGCGTAAAAACAGTTTGCGTCCAATTTTAATTGGGAGTAGGGGGTAGACACATGGGAATAATTATTACTTTTTTTATAGACCTATTATAATACAATGATACTGACAGCGTCTACATGAGCGGGAGAGGTAGGAACAGTTTGCATCCTATTTTTTTGAGGGGGTAGGGGGTAGAGTTGCTTTAATGGGGGTAGGATAAATTTTTTAGGGGGTTATCTATTAAATTTTGAAATGAAATAAAACAAAGTTTATTGATGTAAAAATTAATACTTTTATTATAGTATTATTATAATACAATTCATCGACCAAATCTATATATTGCAAACAATCATGCACATTGTTTTCCAAATAAACTATCCTTTTAAATATAATTTAAAAGGTTTAGATATTTCAGCAAGCTCATAATGCCATAATAATTAATTCATTGTAAATAATGGAGGTTTTAATTAAATTTATTATCTAAAAAATAAATTCTTTATATTCACAAAATATCGATAGTTGGTAGTAGAGATAGATTAATTTAAGTTATCCTTTATAAATTATTTGAAAAGAGTATCAATAAATAAATAGGTGAAAATAATGATGAAAAGACATCGCCGCTGAAGGCGTAGGGATTTTTTAGGGGGGTATGCAAAGGTTTTTGAAGGGGGTTTGCATCCAGTGAAAATCCTGTCATGTAGACGCTGGATAGTGATATCCACCAAATATATATTTTTCAAACAATCATAGACATAATTTTCCAAATAAATTTGCTACCCTTTTAAATGTAATTTATAAGTGTTATATATCTCTGAAACTCATATTGCCAAAGAATATGCTATAATAATGCCTTCTTGTAAATGAGGAAGTTTTTAATTGAATTCATGATCTAAAAAATAACTCTTATATTCACAATAAAGTGTACCAGTATAATTAAAAACATGTAATTAATAATGGGAAAATAACACTGCCGAAAGCAGCGAAAATTTTTTTAGGAGGGTAGGCATAGATTTTTGAGGGAGGTTTGCATCAAGTTAAAATCCTGTCATGTAGACGGTGCTCTTTGAGACCAAGCACTTTAAATCAATTGTTTTTTATTTTAGCTACTTTACCGATTAGTACGCACTAATGATAGGTCATTTTCAACATAAAGCCTATTTAAGAAATAGTACTGGTGAAAACCATTTAATTGGATTAGCATTATTATATATTTATAAGGAGATTATTCTAGATAAAAATTTGATTCTATATGAATGGCCAAATCTTAAAAAAAAGTAGACCTCTTTATAAAATCAAATCATAAAATTGCAATATGATTATAATATGTTCTTAATTTTTTATCCTACAGATTTAATTATAAAAAATTATTAATAATAATATTTTTTTATTATGATATTTTTAATAAAAGTACTTAAATTATATTTTTTTAAATACCGTTATTTGCAACAAGAATTACTTATATTTTATTGTATTTATATTTTTATAAAATTCAGTCATTTACAATAAATTTTTAATATAATAATCTGTATAAAATTTCTACATTTTGAAATTTATTTTATTGAATATTATCATTGAAATAAATATATAATTAAATAAAGGGATGTTATTTATAATAAAGTATTTTAATAATAAACAAAATCTATTAATGTCTGACCACTATAATAGCCAGCATAAATGAAAAAAATACTAGTAAAATTATTTTGGTCAAATTAATGATTAATAAACAATTGAAAGCATCAATCTTTAAATTGTTTATTAATGTTTAGTGTTCAATTGTGAATTAATTCCATTCGGTATAGAGAGAAAAATAATTCGCCCCACCCTCAAACCTCCCATTTATTATGATCGTATAATTTATTCAATGATAAAGTAATTATTTTAATTAAATTTTTGCATATAACAAAATTTTACAGAGAATTTCATTATAGAAGCACAAAATATTGGCAAATTTTAGAACTAGTCAGCCAATTTTAACAAAAATGACATAAAGATAACTATTAAAAAATTAATAATATATTATATTTTTTTATGGACCCGGTCTAAGGCCGGAGAATTACCCCCCCCCCCTCTTAATAAATAAATCTTATCATTGCTATGCCATTGCTTAGCAGTATAAAATAAAATTTGAAAATTAAATGTTTTATAATTAAACAATTTTGTACATAGATTTCAAGAGTAAAAAATTGATCTATTACAAACATTATTTGTTTTATAAAAAATATAATAAATATATTGCTGCAAATAATGAAATAAAAACTTTACGCAATTGTAAAACAATAATTTCATTAATAATATTGCTAAAGCATGTGAGGCAAAAGCAAGATTGTCCCAATTCTCAGATTTGATTATATTTATTGTATTAAGTAAGATATTACGTTAATATTTTTAATTAAATTAGTTTTTAAATAATATATATTATATATCAGTCCTGATTCTAGGCCCATTTGGGAGGGGTGTAAAAAAATTTAAACTGCTCTTATATTAGTTTTATCAATTTTTTAAAAATAAGAATGTGTAGAAAAATAACTGTTGTTCCAACAAATCGGTTTAAAAAAACTATTTATTCATATCTGCTGAAATACCTATTGGCAGCAACGCACCTCATATATTAATTGGGAAGGAGAAGATGTAAATTTAGTCAATTTGGTGGAAGGATGGGAATAATCAGGATGCCAAAATTCAGAATGAGGAAAATGAGCCTGAGCTTGCAAAAACAAAATAAGTTAGTTATTCTTATTGCAAATATTTCACAACTGATTTATAAAAACTACTCAAATTGGAGGGTTTTTTTTTATCTAAAAGTATATAAGAATTTAAATATTAGTTTACCTTTTTATTATTTTTTTTTTCTTGTTGTTAGTTTTCTTATATCAAACCATATACTAAAGTATTTTTTTTCAAAACTAATAATTTCGAAGGAAATAATTCTTAATATCCTAAAAATTGGAATAAAACAACAATTTTATTTCGTCTTTTTCTCTTTTTATATCTACTTGATTAATAATATAATTTATTTACAAACTATGACATAAAATTTTTTATCATTAATCCTCTTTATTTCTTTTACAAATAATAATAATAAATATATTAAAAGAATGATTGCGGAAAAATAATCCAAAAAAATATTCATCACCAAACATGAATGAATTCACAATAACATTAAAAAAATGTCCCACATAATACACCCCCACTAATTGAAAATCAAACTTCGCACTTAAAACTCGCATCCGACTTCCCATAACTATTGCCTTTCATTATACTTCCAAGTAATGTTGTTAAACGGCTCATTTTGAGCCGATTTTAAAAAACGGCTAACTCAATATTTCACCCAGAATAATATTACGCAAGCCTGAAGATTTTGTTTGTAGAAGGAACAAAGGTTTGGACATCTATTAGCGAAATCATGAGGCTTAGCAAATATTTTCCGGCTAAAATATTGAGTTAGCCGATTTTAAAAATCGGCTCAAAACGAGCCGTTTAACAACACTACTTCCATGGATTCGCACAGTAACATTCTTATCGTTGTTTTTTAGGTCCTTAAGTCTTCCCTCTTTGATCGACTATATAGATGATTCCCTGTAGAAGTCACGTCTTAGTTGGACTTCGTCCATTAATCATTTATATATCCCATTAACCATTTTGTCCCATTAACCCCGATATTATTTATTCCCCTTTCACTGTTATTATCAATCGCCCAAGCATAGCCTATCTTTGTTTTAGTTATCCCCTTAGATTTTCCTCGGATATATTGAGCACTATATTAAGATATATATTTTTTCGCCACCTTTACCCTGACAAAATTTTCGACAATATACCATTATCATTATATATATTTTTTTTATAAATTTCCCATCATTTACTCTATCGTTTTATTAGTCCCGGTCGTGATTTATCAGGTTCCACTCATCTGCGGAATTGGTTTCTGTGCCGAACACCTACTTTACCATCTGAAAACTCCACTCTTCTTAATTTGCATCCCATATTTTCAAC